TAGTATTACTAGTACGTACGGTAGTACGTATACTAAACTTAACTACGTAATAGTACTAGTAATAGGTACGTACTCTCTACTACTACTACTCGTACGTCTCTCTCTCTCTCTCTCTCTCTCTCTCTCTCTCTCTCTCTCTCTAAGTGGCATGCCACCCCCTCTCCATCTCTATCTTGATCTCTCATCTCTCTCCCCTACTTAGAAAATAAAAAGAAATAGGGGGCATGCCCCAAGCTTTGTGAAATAGGGGCCACGTCGCAAGCTTTGTGAAAGGGGGGTAGGTTACTATTGAGACCTAGCCTACCTTACTAGGTATTGAGACCTAGCCTACCATACTAGGTATTGAGACTTAGGGTACCATACCAGGTATTGAGACCTAATATACCATGCTTAGGCATTGAGGCCTAGTCTTGTGATTGTTCCACCATTGCTCTATGATTTGAAAGGGTTGATAGCCTGAGGTTACTCATACTTCAAAAGATATGAGAAAGACCTTGATCCCGTGCACCATCGAAGGAGGAGACTCGGAACGGGGTGTGCAACGTCCAGTTGAGATAATCTTCGGGCAATTTATTTTTTGTTTATGCAGTTATGTGTTTCATGATCCTAAGATCAAGTTTATGCAATTTTGTTTGTGTAATAAAGAATTGTTATAGTGGCAGGAAGTGAGAGTCCTTGGGATTCTTTGAGTTTTTTTGTTTTTCATAATGTATTTGGACTCTTGTAAGTAATCCAAGTGGGGAAAATAAAGAAAAGAAAGAAAAATTTTAATCAATATACACTTGCCTAGGTTCCACAGTCCAACTTTCATGTAAGGCCAAATCTCGTTGGTCTCTAGGCCCCATCCTCTGAGCCACCCAGCATTTAGATGATTAGACACAATGCTTTGGTTTTTCTTACTAAAACTACTCTATGCATCATATTATTGGACTCCATTCGTTGGGACTGGAGTTCCAGATGTGTCTCTTCCATCAAGATTCATATTCCCCCAATAAAATAAAAAAACATGTCCTAGATCGCGTTAGGGCAACAAATCAACAACTGATTTCCCTCTTCTTGCTCCTCATGAGGGGCAAGGATAACCTAGAATAAGACACATTAAATTATTTTGTTCACCTTCAAGGGGCTACATGGCACGTTAAAATCCCCTAGTAATGAGGATTATAATTCTGGGTTACAAGAGATATGCCTCTCTCTTCGGACACAGGCAAAACCCTTGCCTCTTATCCCTTCCAAACCCACTCTTCGACCAAACAGCGCTAGAATCAATCTTCCTCTTTCCCACCACTATCACTGCCAGAAACATGAGAGCAATTGAGAAATGTCCTCCCTCTAGGATTTTTTCGGGTCCGGTCCGGGTTCGGTCGACCTAAACCCCATCCCGACCTAGATCCTCTCAGGTCACGGGTTCTGGACCTAGACTCGACCCATCAGGTCCAAAACTTGGACCCAGACCCCAACTGGATCGGGTCAACCCGCTTGGTTGTAGGTTTAATCCGACCCAATTGTCATCCTTAAAGAAAACTCTCTCTCTAGGAGGCTATGCCTCCCTCTCTTTAAGACTCATCTCCCTCTTGTTGATCCTCTTTCCCATGACCACAAAGCCACTAAAAGGAAAAGGATGAGTATTATGTTTATCCTCAATTCCCTTATGTAGAGATTGTTAGGGCTTCTTTCTTGCTCTTCTATCTTTTACCCAAAGACCATACTACCCCTAATCTTTCTAAAGAAACATAAGAGAGGTGATTTTGGTTTTTCCCACAGCCAACCTTCTATACTACAAGAATAATCAAATTTTGAGTGAAATTCCTCCAATCTTGTTGTCAATGAGAAAATTCAGTTGAACTGTGCAAACTGTTTGGATGAATGGCTCGTGGGGGGTTTTTGGGGGGAGGGGGAGACTAATGTTGATGAACTTTTATATAACAACAATCAACTTCAATTGCTATTAGCATTAGGAATCAATGCACAAAAGTGTGCTTCTGCTGCTGCTGGATAACTCAAGAAATGTTCGAGAGAGCCCAGTACTGAGGAAATATGAACTTCTATTTCATTAAGTCGAGCAATGCCCAAGAACTATTTGGTTGGAGAGCTCAAACAGTGTTAGAAATGGAAGACGGGTAGATTGATAGATAGCAAGACAGATGGGAGGAGAGTAGTGCATAGAAATGTAACTTTTATATGATAATAATCGTCAAATTTCAGATACAAATCCATTAATGTCAATAAACAGAGTCCAGCAGCAATGTAGATACGCAAGCAATGTTCCACAGAGAAAGCGAGAAAGAGAAGCAAGCACAGCAGCAATGTACACTTTTATACGACAACAAACATCTGATTTAATTACCCAAAAAACAAACATCTGATTTCAATTAAAACCATTCAATTCCATTATAATTAAGAAAGTCCCACACAAATACTGAGAGTAGAGCTCGACTGAATCAGTTTACCCCATTTTCCTTGAACCAAAGACCGCAACTGACGACAAAGAAGTAACATGCGGTGGTGAGCAAGTCTCAAAGAGAACCCTGGCCTTTAAATTCGTTAAACAAGATTGAGCCATCTTTATGCTTTGCTCCTGCTAAAGAAGTAAAGAATCCATCAAAGCGAAAGAATAAAGCAGAAAAGCACCAGAATCCTAGAAGCCAAGGATCTATAAAAAGGCCATGACGAAAAGAGGTACGAACGAGTAGAGGAAGAGTAAGAAAGATATTTAACAGTGAAAAAGCGTTCTCATGGTCCTTTTTTTGCGGTGAGAGAGAAAATCACCGAGGTGAAATTACTCGCCGCATTTGTTTATTTGTTACGGCGTCAGGCGCTCTCTAGCTGTGGTCCCCACTTTCAAGAGCGACCTTGACGGTTGGTGGCCTTCTCACGTGAAGCTCTCACGTGGTGGCTCAATAGCGCGTCACGTATTGCGATCGATCGCCGCGCTGCAAAATACTTGATCTAATCTCGGCCGAGATCAACCGAAACTTCGTCTTAGATTTCGAAAGAAATCTAACCACCGGATTCCACATTGTTTTTTTTGTTGGATCAATGGAGATTACAAGGTCCTACTCGTCTTTGACAGAGTCAATTTTAAAAAAGTGCTTATGAGAACAGAGGCTCTAACGGTTCAAGCAGAACTACCACCACGACCCAGCTTCATTCTCAACCATAGTTTTCTTAGCAGCCAGCGTGCACTTCAATCTCGTTCTAGAATAGCCGAGCAACAAATCAAATTTTTTACAGGATGAATATAGTGTCGTCGAGATGGTTATCGAAATTTATTAAATTTACCAACTATTTATATAAGGCTAAGGTGCACCTGAAAAATCTAGTAGAAAAGAGCATTCCAAAGTTTGAAACCTTTTTATTGATTATCTCGACCTCAATATGCATGGTATAAACAAAAATAGAATTTTAAGTTTTATAAATAGTTCATCTTGTGATGGAAACATGTACATTTTGTTTCTAAGAAAAAAAATATGCACACATATCAAATGAATGAATAATTCAATTGAGCATATCAGCCTCTATACCTAAGTTTAAACGCAATGATACTATTCATTAGTCAGCTCCTTCGTCAAGAATGGGCTTCAAATGGATTAAAAGCAAAATAAAATAGACTTCTCTCTATCTCATATATGTCTCTAAAGATAGTGTCATAGTACCAAATCCAAATTCCGGCCCCAAAGCCAAATCCAAACTTCGGCCCCAAAGCCAAATCCAAAATCTCCCGCCCTAGTGCCCAATCCAAAACCCGGCCCCAGTGCCAAACCCAAATCTCCAGCCCTAGTGCCAAATCAAATCTCCGGCCCCAATGCCAAATCCAAATTCCGACCCCAGTGCCAAATCACATCTCCGACCATAGGGCCAGATCCAAATTCCAGCCCCAATGTCAAATAAAAATCTTTGGCTCTAGTGCCAAATCAAAAATTTTGGCCCCAAGGCAAAAATATCTTCACTAGCTAGATTGGGGCAAGGCCCACCAAGGGAACCACTAGCTGGTCCATTAGGAGACATCGTCGACATGGAGTGGTAAACCCTTTACGAGGCAGCCTATCAGCGCGCTCTCCCAGAAAAGAAAAAGGATTCCAGAAGCATTTGAAAGGAAGCCTTAAGCAAATCCCAAATCGACTAAGAGTCCACTTCGGTCGCCCCTCAGAAAGAAGCTTAGCATGATCTCCCCCTCAAAGATTGTGCTAACGCCGGTGATTGAGAAGAAAAATATTTCGTTGAGAGGAAATAAACAAGTCTTGGTAAGGATTCGAAAGATGAGCTTCGACGACAAAATTGTATGTTGCACTTCTCGCTTCTCTCGAAGTGCAACATCCGTCGAGGCAAGTTGTTGTATATCATTTTTGACGTACCTACATCCCGAACGCAAATAAGAAGAGAGCCAGTGACAATCTAGTCTAGCTGGTGGCTAAGATACTGCTAAACCAAGGGAACACTGTAGAATAAGCCTAACACTAGGCAACCTTGGAAAAGGCACCATCACGTCATAAAGAGACCTTACAACTATAGCCCTAAGCTAGGAGATTCAAAATAGTACCATACCATAGTCATTGCATCCAGAACGTCGAAAAACTCTCAGTGACCAAATTTGGGCTCATTTGGATCTCCCAGGAACATTCTGGGCCCAAATTACCTCAAATAGGTGAAGTCCTACACTATTGTGATGTGGCCTCACCAAAACCAGTCCCCAATCATGGAGGCCGTAATCTTCACTTCTCGAGATGACTTGCAAACACTCACACGTCACTTGATTGAAGTCGGAGTAAGCTCAAATTCGGACACAAGATAGGTTTCGACAACCCGGTCATTTTGACATATGGCACGCATTGTGACATGACCCAGAATCAAAGAAAGAAGATGAGCCCAAAACCATGAAAATCAGATCTTTTTGAAGAAATTACGTCTTGAACTTCATTAAGCAATAAACTCGTCATCTGTACATTGGATCATCGTAAATACAGGTATGATGAGACTGTATCACGAAGGGCTACAAACTAGTATAACTATTGCATTCAATCTAAGGTCGGATAAATCGCAAATTTCAAGGATGAAGAAAACAAGATCATCAGGTCACCAGAATCCCTTTTTCTAGCGATCTCCCGAAATCATAAAATACTTCAAGAAAGGACCAAAACGGATAAAAATTGATGCAAAACAACTGTGGAAGTCTCCTCTTGAATTTGCAATCAAAATTTAAGACCACTCTTATCAATCATCTCAAACACCATCACAAGCATCCAAAAAGCTTCCAAGATCTGGCAATGGTGAATTCGTCATGAGCACGAAAGGTTTAAGGGGCATTTTGATCTTTATTCCTAAATTCGGGATTTTATTGTAATTTCTTTTACAAAAAATTACATACATATCCGTTATAATTTCTGTTATTACGACTCTACCGAATGGTTTTCGTAATTACCACCGTGTTCGTTTTTTAATATCAAAACTGAAATTTTAAAAAAAGATGACTTTACCCTTTTACGGTTGTTGAACAAAAGAATTTAAAGTATTTTCGATTTTTCAACAACCGAAAACGAGGCTAATTTCGGTTTTTGAATAATCAAAAATTTAAAATTTTTGGTTCTTCAAGAGCTCAAAATTTTCTTCTCTTGTGGGTCTGCATATCCTCTCTCTACCTTTCTCTCTACATTACATGGGTAAAAATGGTTTTTTTTTAAACTCTCTCTCTCCCCTTCACCGAGCGGTTGTTTTTGGGAAAGTTCATAATCTCTGAGGTTTCTCCTAAATTTAGGGAAACTAGTTGTTCCCACCTGATTTTATCGGATAACCATGACTTCAAAGAGGTAGATAGAGAATACGCCCCAAGATTTCTCCTAATCTTTTAATCTCATAATCCCTAAGATTTCTCTTAAATTTAGGGGCTCAAACTAATTGTTCCCCTTTGATTTTATCGGATAAATATGACTTCATAGAAGTAGAGAAAATATGCCACAAGAGAGAGGAAACATTTTTTGGTTCTTGAAGAACTGAAAATTTAAAGATTTTGGTTCTTCAACAACCAAAAATTTTAAATATTTGGGTTCTTCAAGAATCGAGAATACTTTGAATTCGGTTGTTTAACAACCGAAAAAGGGTTAAAGTCGTCTTTTTTAAAAAATTTCGTTTTGACATGAAAACATGGGACACGGTGGTAATAAGGGAAACTATTCGGTAGAGCCGTAATAACGAAAACTATAACGGATATGTATGTAATTTACCCTTTCTTTTAATTGTTTTTAAGCTTAATTTTGAGCATCCACCCCTGTTCAGTGGGTCTTCTATATAAACAAGCTTGGGTTTGTAAAAGGGTCGGATCATTCATTAATGAAATAAAGGCTAAGAAGTATTATCATTGCTTTTTGGTAGAACAAATGTGTTTCATTAGTAGCTCTTTTGTTATTATCCAATCGATAGTCATCCTTTAGCTGAGCTAAATACCCTTAGAAATCTACTTTCATCTCCAGGTAGAACACACTCGCTTACGGCAAGTCTGCCCCAAAAAGCAGGAGGTCTGAGTCGAGAAGATGATTCACACACCTACATATCGCAACGATCTAAGACTCAAGGATTTGGCAAGTCTTCTCCATTGGGATTAGCATCGCCGACCACTTCTGCATTGGCACTTGAAGAGGAAGCGTCGCCAAGTACTTATGCAATGGGGTTGGAATAGGAAGCATCTCCAATCACTTCCATGACATGGTCGTCCTCAGAGCGGAGCGAATTTAAATAAGAATCCCAAATTGTAACTAATTTAAGCTAAACTAATTTAAACAAGAATCCTAAGATGCCTGTAACTAATTTAATTTAAACAAATTAAACAAAAAATGGATGGGAATCACACATTCTCGAGGATGGTCGCAAGGATTTGATGTTCAAGGTCACGTAGTACAAGATCGCTTTCATATAACTCATCTTCGGGCAAAGCCTCAATCAACGATTGCCCTCCTCGATCGCTCGTTTGGGTTTTGATCAATTAAATTAGAAACAAGCTATCATACATAATCAAAAAAATCAAATGGCTAGCTCACTGACCTTTTTGGCTAATTCTATGGTATCTACAGTGGCATTGAGGATCTCCCTCATAAAAAAAGAAAAATTCAGAACTTTCGGGAGCCTTGTAGCACTAGCTAGGACCAACTGTTCCTTTGCATAATTCTTATAAAACAAGAGAAACATAATGGAAACAAAGAAAATATCCCCGTCCAGAATTCTTTTAAAACAAGAAAAACATGATGAAGTCAAAGAAAACAGTTGAAAGAAAACAATACGAATAAAGAAATATTGCCATCGCTCTTTAGTAGAACAAATGGGCTTCATCAGTAGCTCTTTTGTTATTATCCAACCAATTGTCATCCATTAGCTGAGGTAAATACCCAAAGAAATCTATTTTCATCTTCAAGTAGAACACACTCCCCTCTGGAGAGTCTGCCCCAGAAGGTAGGAGGTAAGAGTCTAGAAGATCGCAATGATCTGGGACACGAGGATTTGACAAGTCTTCTCCATTGGGGTAAGCCACACCAACCACTTCTGCAATGGAAGCCTCCCCAACCACTTCTGCATTGTCGTTTGAAGAGGAAGCCTCGCTAACCACTTCTATAATGGGGTTATAAAAGGAAGCCTCTCCAATCACTTCCACAACACACTCCTCTTCAGAGCAGAGTTAATTTATACAAAAATCCCAAACTGTAACTAATAAGAGCGGAACTA